TGTGTTTCAATGATTTAGTAATTTCTAATCAAGTACTATCGCATATACTGTTTGACATACACGAATTTTTAACAAGCATTACTATTATGATTACTTCCAAACTAAGTTTATAAAATGGGTAAATCCTAATGATTGCTATTTAACATATCTATTAGATTAGATTGAGGAGGCTTAGGCAATTTTGAATTAAATGATGGCTAGCTCTGAAATTCAGAGATTATGTAAATAAAGTACGCCAGATTTTTTTATGAAAAAGACATAGGTAGGTCAACACATTCATTTTTGAGAAAATCGGTTGTGAAAATTCGTAATTTTAACACGTACCCTTACCGAACCCGAAAGTAAATTGACTTTTGTTCTGTAATACAAAGCTGTGGGCCCAGAAGTCAAATAAGTACTTATACTTTTAATTATGAGGAATCTATTACTTTAAAAAAAAGATAAGGTCAACACGTTAAATTTTGAGAAAACAGTGGGGAAAATGTCGAACGCACAGTTTATATTGATCAGGTATTGTGAGTCTGCATGCGCTCTACATACATAAACATACAAGCATAAAGATTTAAGTCCAACACAAGTATAGATATATAATAGCAGAAGAAAGTACGGTGTTGTCTCTTTTACCGTGACAGGGCCATCATTTTTACAAAGGTACCTCGGGAAAACTAATACATTTTTTAATATCAATTTCCCCAATAACTTTTCCACGTATTATTGATATTTCGTTGACACACTTATCTAATAAATATAATTGTACAAAAAAAATACAAATAATCATTTGCATGATGAGTATCCCACAGGGGTCCCTCAATAGATACGACACGAAACGCCCAAGCCTCTTTAAAAATAAAATAAAATGCAAACATATGTAAACAAAATGTGTACACAGATATGTATACATACATATACGACATGCATACGGACAAGACATATTCCAAAATAAGGTGAATTTTGAATTTTCACGGGCTGTGCATATTCGATGATCGAAATTTTTTTTGTATTAGAATGGTACACATATGTTTGTCATGTATTGACATTATCAGCTAATTTAGATTTGTAGTTTTTTATTAATAACTAAAAAAGCTAGTCAAGTTTTCAAATGTTTTACGATTTTTAACTTTTGAACAAAAGGGATCCAAGAATACGTATTAAATTTTGCGTTAAAAATGGAATAAAGTGGTTCAAGGCTCTTGAAATGTTGCCTGTGGCATTTAGCGACTCCACTTTCTCTCAAAAAAGTGTTTATAAGTCGCACGGTGCTTTACAGAAAGCCGAAAAGATGTTGATGACGATGAGCGTTCTGGAGTTGCAATCACGTCAACAAGCAAAGGAAATGTCGAAACAGAGTAAAAAAAATCGTTCTAGAAAATCATTTAATAACTATTAGGGAAGTTTCAGAGGGTTTTTACATATATATATCGGCTCATGCCATGCAATTTTTTTCAAAGTTTTGGGCATGAGACGAGTGGCAGAAAAGTTTGTTCCAAAATTATTAAATTTTGAGCAAAAGCAACAGCTCACACATCAATGCTTCGTAAATTTTTGGCCAAAAAACACAGTAATCCTACCACAATCACCCTATTCATCAGATTTAGCTCTCTGCGACTTTTTCATATTTCCAAAATTGAAAACACCAATGAAAGGAAAGCGTTTTGCCACAATTGACGAGATAATATCAGAATCGAAGAACGAGCTGATGTCTATACCAAAAAGCGTATTTCAAAAGTGCCTCGTGGATTGGAAGAAGCGTTGGCATAAGTGCATTATATCTGAAGGGGATTACTTTGAAGGGGACAAAATGGATATTGATAAAAAAATTAATTCTTTTCAAAAAATTCAAAATTCACCTTCTCTTTTGACTAGACTTCGTACGTAGGTTTTATGTTAGGTTGTCCGAAAATGGTGGGGGGTAAGCAGTGGAAGGGTCAAGAAAAAATGCGTGGAAATCAGTGGGAGGTCTGTGGGGGCGGTGAGGAGTTTGGACAAAAATCGTGATACGTCCAAATAAGGGAGAGAACGACGAAATTTTACCTTATTTTGTGGGGGCCTGTAGGCGTCTATGAGGGTCTGTGGAGGTTGTGTGAAATGTCCTACTTAGTTACTACTATATCATATAGGAATAAATATAAGTATCTATATATACATTTATACACCTTATAAAGAAATAAGCATTACAGTAAAGACTCCACAATTCTTATCAGGGCTCAGTTTATGGTTTTTCCAGAAAGACTAATTAGCGATACCTTTATGGTTATTATTTTAATATGATATAAAATATTATTATACATATAAACAGTATGTCATACGTTTAAGCGTATTCAACTTATTTTATAGAATGATCTACATAATAACAATAACAAAAAATCAACGCACTAGTCTTTTTATATCTTACTTGTCTTATGGGCACTGAGGTAAAATAGATAAGATAAAATGAAGAAAATGAAGTCTTGTTTTTAAGGAGTGATAGAAAGCGATGTGTTGGTTAACCGAAAAAAAACGTTTGAAGGTGGCAGATGTAAAAGTAAGGGGCTGATTTAATATTTTTTTGATTTACTAACCAAATTCGATTAAGTTATTTTAAGAAAGAAGTAAAATGATCTATTTTTCATAGGAAAAGGGGCTAAGAGGAAAGGAACAAGAAGGCAGAACAAACAAAGCTAATTTTGTATTTTATGAGGGAACGAAGGGGGCATAAAAATGCGTAGGATGGAAAGCAGGGTAAAGAGGGTTAAGCAAATAACAAACTTAATTTTACAAAGAAATAAAAGAAATTTTGCTTTATTTTTAGGGGTGCAGAGTGGGTGCAAGAGAGACGTGTGGGGAACATGATGGATTTAGAGAGGCAGCATGGATGTCCAAGACCAAATTGAATGAGGTTGAGTTTATACAAAAATGGAAGGTATCTTTCCTCATTTAAGGAGGGTTCAGAGGGGCCGAGAGCAGACTAGAGTGAGAGAGAGAGGTGTGAAATGCTTTTTATTAATAACTATATAACTTAAAAAGATATGTCTTCCTGTACTACATAGTTGTAATAGTTGTAAGGATATTAACGGTAGCTTACCCTCTCTTATATACGCTTGGCCACTACTATTTACCCACTGATGCTCTTAACGAAATGTATGTCATATGTAACTTAATTTTACTTTCTACAATTTATATTTTTGGGCACCTTTTGCAACCTCTATACGCCCCTATTCGCCCCTGTTCATCCTTAGCCACTCTTTTGACGCACCTTTATCAAACTGGTAAATTTCCTCACCACCTAATAGTAAAATGAGATTAAGAGTATAATAATGCTATATTACAGATATAATATCTGAATTTACTATTCGTTCATCATCGAAATTTTCAACAGCTCAATATGATTTCATTTAAAGAATTGTGAATCAAATACCCCTTTCAAAATAATATTTTTTATCTAAAATTTACTGTTTGACTCACTTTGTACGTATATTTCTTTCAGATTTCTACTTTTTTAAAAAAAGTACAATTGGCTATGAAAAAAAAAGTTTTTTTTACGGTACAGTATAACCTTATCGAAACTTGGTCCTTATAAATTATTTATGGTCATGCTACGGTTGATACAAATAAAATTGTTTTTTTTTATGGATAATAAAAGGCAATAATGAAAAATTTTTAGTATTTCAAGTGATTATATCGAACAAGAACTACCTCTTGTTGCATGAATACATTTACTATGTAAACATATTTTATAATACCAGAAAGAACACGGAATAAGAAATAATTGTGGAAGTCAACGAGCTAATCGCGTAGGGGCTAGAGCTCCACTGACATAGATATACACTAGTGGTTCTTTGCTCTCCCTCGCACTACACACACCAATCCCCTACGAACTAATATCAATTGAAACTCAAGATTTTAGTAACTTTTACAATGTTAGATTATAAAAATATTGTTATAAGGCAAATCTGGCCGGGACGTTATTTTTTTTTTGTTTGTTTGTGGCTCCCTGGATAAGGAGAAGAGGACGACACGGACGAAGATGCGGCACCGGGATACATCAGCAAAAGTGACTAGAGAGAGCTTGAGTAAATGCACGCGTTACTCTGTTCAGACAGCAGAAGTTGCCTTCGGGTAAGAGAGAGCAAGAGAGAGTGAAAAAGGGCCACAGAGTAAGGTATTGCCGTTACGAAAAATGCGAGAGGCCCACCGAGTTAGTATCGAGCCAAGAGCCATTGCGCGAGAAAAGAGAGTCCAGAGACAGAGAAAGGTTTTTTGTGTGAGGGTGGGCAAGGACAAAGGCAACGAGTATAGAGAGAGAGAGATTTAATTTGATTTGAAAGCTAATTTATTTATGCCAAGGGCATTACACCCGAATGATAATTTTTTGAAGTACAAAGATTTTTTTATATTCAAATTATCGACAGTATTAAACATAAGTTACAGAATTTTTACAGATTTTGATTTAGTTTGAACGGCGACAATTTAACATAGCAATCTATACATATATATATTCGTTAATTTACATTAGGTTGCACTTAATTTTAGTTTCATTTACGGTATGCCCTAGATTTGAAAAAGACAAGAAATAATTAATCGTAACAAAATATTTTCAGTCTTGCCATAATGACTTAGTAAAACTTACAATCTAAAACATAAGCGTGCTTAGTAGTCAGTCCCCCTGTTTTTCTAAATAAAAACGGTAAAGAGTCGTCTTAAAGACGTTCAGCGAATCAACCTGCCTAATACTTAGTGGAATAGTATCCCACAACCGCATAAGTCTCTGCAAAAAGGCTGATGCGTATGACGATAGCGATGCAGTGGGAATCATAAATGTCGGCCGATCACGACGCGCGGAACGGCGGAGCCCATCCGCAAATCGGGGGAGTAAGTCGAACAAGTACGAAGGCTTACCCGAGGTCAAGAGTTTATAGGCAAACACAGCAAGAAAGTACTCCCTTCTAAAGCTTGGCCGTAACCAACCCAACCTTTTATAGTACTGAGAGAGTGATGCATCCCTCCTCAACCGAAAGATGTACCTAACAACAGTATTAGACAGACGATCGAGCTTGGTGGCCAGGTACCCTGAAATACCCATGTAGACTAAGCAGGCATAATCGAAGTGGGGAACAACAAGACTCACAGCAAGAGCAGCTCTAAGTCGGAATGACAGAGTGCCACCCTGATACCGGAGACGACACAACACACCATGCACCCTTGAGCATATTGCTGCAACGTCGGCATTCCATAAAAGGTCACTCGACAACGTCACCCCTAAGTCCTTAACCGAACTAACAAGTGGAATCACCTTCCTATCAGCCAGCAAAGGAGGTATGGCGTCAACGTCAGTTCGCATTAAATTCTACCAAGTAGTCAGAAGCATAGCACGCAACTTTCCAAAATGGAGCTGAAGACCAAACTCAGATGCCCAGGCTACAACCCTCCCGATATCCTCATTGAACCTACCCACAGCTCCAGCAATCTCTGAAGGCCTGCATTGCATATACGCCTGCAAATCATCAGCAAAAAGTATTCCCGTACTATGAGACAGCACCGCCAAAATAGAATCTATTACAATTAAAAACAAAATTGGTCCCAAAGAAGAGCCCTGAGGCACACCCGACGTACACGGCAGAAAATCAGTCTGCACCCCATCCAGCCCAACAACGGCCTGCGATCGGTCAGACAAGTACGAGTGGAACCACCTAATAGCGTCCGGAGAGAAGTTCATCCTGCTCATAGCCTTTAGCAGGACCACATGGCTGATGGAATCGAATGCACGCCTGAAATCAAACAGCACCAAAATCGTGACCTTTCCGGCCTCCATCCCAACGCGAACATCCTCCGTCAACTTAAGTAGAGCTGACTGCGTGCTATGGCCCCTCCGGAAACCCGATTGCATGGGCGAAAGGAGTCTCTGACCCTCCAAGTAAGCCACCACCTGTCGCGACACAAGAACGTCCAGAACCTTCGCAAAATGCGCCATATTCGCAACAGGACGCACATCAGAAGGGCCAATGGGTTGCGCAATCTTAGAGAGCGGCACAATCACAGACCGACGCCAAGGTGCAGGATACCTACAAGATTCAAACGAGCGATTGATAAGGCCGGTGAGGAACGGCACAATTGCGGCAAGAGAGCCACGAAAATATGAGAGGGACAGCCCATCCAAACTTCTACCCCGTGAACGAACCATGCAATGTGCCATCGCCTGAGACACGCCCACAAACGACACCGGAGCCAATGAGAAGCCGTCAGGCCGGGCACCAGCATCACCCAAGATTCCCTCCAGCTCCCACACAGTGCACGGCAAGTGAGTACAAGACATCGCCGAGAAGTGCCGGGACAGCACCACGGGTGAAATAAAATGCAATGGTGATAGCTGCGAGCCTCCAACTATTCCAAATCTACGGAGAATACTCCATCGCTGGGATGGCTCCCGTGCACCCTCCAAGGCACGACGCAGATACTCCTCTCGCGCCTCTCTTATGTCTCGCTTCAGGGCCGACCTCAGACCTCGATACCGCAGCAGACAGCCAGGATCACCGGTGCGGCGAGCAATCATATACACACGATCACGCGCCCTACAACGCTCACGCAATTCCGCATTAAACCAGGGCACCGGCCTACGATGCTGCCTCCTCTCCACCAGCGGCGCATGGATATCCAGAGACGACCTCAATACTTCCTGGAAGTGCCCAAGTAATGTATCCACGTCCACACCATCATCCACATCGACCCTTGCCAACCCCGACGATACCGCAGCCGAGAAATCCTCAGCCGAGAAGTGTCGAAACTCACGTATCCTTGGCAAAACCCTCACCGATGGCTCACTCAAAGCGTAATCTATGTACAAATAATCGTGACCGTTGATGTATGGAGCATCAGACGACACCACAGACCGCACCACTTCACTTGAATTTGTTACTATCACATCGATCCAAGTATCGGCCGACGGACAATGGTGCGTTGCTCCTGTAGGCGCGAGGTACATCGAATTCTCAAGAATCAACCGCCGCAGGTGGCGAGCGTAGTAATCGTCTCCCAGCATATCGGAGTTCAAGTCACCCGCTAATACAATATCTGAGAAGCGACCCGAGCTAGCCTGGATTGTGCCAAAAAAATCAGTGAGAACATCACCCTTCGGACGCCTGTACACAGACGCAAAGAGCATACGTCGCCCTCTTCCAGGCCGTAAATCCAATAACATGTACTCAGTTTCATTCAGACGTGTTATTTGCGGTATCGCTATAATCCGAAAGGACAAATCATGTCGTACATAAGAAGCTACACCTCCACCCTGCATAAACTCACGCCTCCCATTGTTCGTTCTGAGGCTCCTGTCATTTCACACAAGAGTGTAACCAGGCAACTCGAAAAGCGATGAACAGTGGCGCGGTGTCAGCCAAGATTCTGAGATCGACAGCACGTCTATATTTTTTTGCAGGCCTTTATGTCCGATATTATTGAGGTTCGGCCATTGGTTAGTAAGCGTGTGGAGGGGTTGGGGCTTGGTGGAGAGAGAGAGAGAGAGAGAGAGAGAGAGAGACTTTCTCAATAACATGAATAATATACCTACTAAAAATCTAATAAAAAGTCACCAGCAGGCCATTAGCAATACCCATGTAGGCGATGCGGAAATTTGCTTAACATTTTAATTATGTGAATTGTACATAATCATTTTATTTAAGATAACATGGAAACGTAACAAATATTTTAACGAAAGTTTATAATTATTGTGTAGGGCATTAAAAGGTTTTTACACATTAAGACCTTATTATAATAAGAGAAAATATTTTCTGATTGTGAAGGAGGTCAGTGGGGGCCTATGGACAGGTTGTTCTAAAAGTTAAGCGAGACAGTGGGGGGCCTGTGGGTTTTTGGGAAAATTGTGGTGGTCAGTGGGGGCCTCTAGGATTTTTTTAAGAACTGTGAGACGTCAGCGGGGAATTGCTACTATTTTGTTACCAAGAGGTATGACAAGTCCTAGAATTTTCAGACTACCTTAAGATTCAAATAACATTGAAACAGTATTTTTAGAGCATGAATCCAAAATAAATAAAAAATTAAGAGAAGTAGCTATTATAATATGGAATAAAACGTTAATGATTCTAAAGAAAGCTTTAGAAAGAGTAAACTGGACATTAAAAGATTTGTATATTAATGATTCATATTTTGAAGAAAAAAAATAATAATATTGGGCGGAGATTCAAGACAAATTTTACTGGTTTATAATAAATTATAAAAGAAATAATTAAGTATTCTTATTTATGGAAACACTTTCATACTTTTGAATTTAAAAAAAAATCAAAGATCACTGGATTAAACTTTTTTTTTTTTTTATTAAATATTGGGAAGGATAAAATTTGTTTGTTTTCTATACTATGTATATCTTAGGGTATAGTGAAGACAACTATATAAAATAGGAAATATGTATGTATTGGACTGCGCTTCGTGCTCGCTTCGTGCGTTAACCCCTGCTTATGATTTATATAACTATAAGATATGAGGTCGGAGATACGTTTTAAAAATTAAGTTGCTAACCAAGTATAACATTGTAAATATTATTAGTATTAAAATTTCTCATTACGGTATGGTTTACCTCTTTAAAGGCTGTATTGCTTGCAGTCTACGTATTAGAGGGCTTGAAAATTGACAGCACACCATTTTCTTATACACTGTTTCCAAATCTTTTATCTTTAACCATAATTCCCGTGACACTTTCATACATTGATACTGATGTATTTCTGTCCTATAGACAGGCCCCGCTCATCATTGCAGCTGGTCGCAGCTACCTATGACCCCGCGCCACATCAGGGCAGGATCAAGAGGTGAGACTTGATGTGGTTACTACAGAGGTCTAGGTATCTTTATCGCTTATAAAGTCGTATGTCTGGGAAATAAAAAGATATGGCGAATCTTTTAACTAAGGAATCTGAGCTATTCAAGAACAAAGTAGAGGGAAATTCTAAGTGCATATCAGCTAGTACTTTCTTGTACGACTAGGGCACGTAGGGTGGTGACGACCTTACTCTTCCTGCTAGTCTAAGATTGGTATGTTGCAGTAAAACCTACTTACATACACTTTTACAATATCCTGTCACCCAGTTGAACATTTCTGGCAACTTCTATAAAAGTCTTCCCTGGCTAAGGACAAGAAGTCTACCGTGTTTGTCTTGAAGTGCAGCATATAAGCGATCAAAAGAAGATCCTGGGCAGTAAGGTGATCATTAGGCTGCGTGCTAAAGTGAATCAAGCTGTCTTTAGCTCCTGCTTATAGCAAGACAAAAGGCCAGATTCTTAACTAAGTCCAGTTAATTGGTTAGCACTAGAGGAGGCAAGTTGGTAGGGTAAATTGACTCTAATGCTGCCATGGTCAGGTCAGCCTGGTAGTGACCTGTTGGGCTGAGCTGGTGTGGCAGCAGGGCAGCTTTTGCTTGGCCTTCAGGGCTTGCTTAGCTTGGGAGGCACTTGTTGGGGTCAGCAGGAATGCTGCTGTGGCGTCGCCGGTTCTCCTTGGGTGCGGGGCTTCTCCAATTTGTTGAATACATCTTGCTGCGTAATATCTGCTGGAAACTCTTCAGAGAATAGATATCTTTTTAGTTGGGACGCGGAGCTCGGAGAAGTGGAGGTGGACAAGTGTAACGGGACGGACTACTTCCTGGGGTTACTCATTATAAAAGGGGGAATCCAGATAAATGGATGTGGACTTTAGCATGAAATTTGTTCGTTGCGCAAATGGACACTTAAGTCATAACCATGGAAAGAAGAATTAAGGAGATGAGTTACATTGGGCTGACTCCGACGTAGAGTCACTGATTTCTAGCTGTATTGGAGTGGGCAAGCCCGATCAGAAAACCTAACTTATGAAGAGTGCAAACATTGCGTTTGAGACTCAGGTTAAGGCAGTATTGCAGCTAAATGTGATTATTCCTAAGCACATTAGAATGTCGAAAACTTTCTATCAAGGACAACGTCGGGCTGGCAGCGACTACGGTAAGGACCTTTTAACGCCTCCAGGCAAAGCTCGATAGGAAAGGTGACTCGCCTTTGCACTCTTCTGGGACTTGCTATTTATAATTGAGCTGTCCTGCACATTACCGGGTCGGGGCTAGTATAACGGCAGTACTGAATACACCCATTCTGGTTCACAGTAAAAAGCCCCCGGTATCCGATACCAGAGGCGGAGATGGGTTCATGTGGATCAGGTGTAAATGAGTTGTTATACGTTTTCTAACATTACGATTGGCATCTTTTGAGAACAGTATGCCCAACTCGAGGATTGTATTCACGGGTGTGGGGAGCTTCTTGTTGAACAAAACCTCACATAAAACAAGGAGCGTGAGCGTCCTAATGACTCTCGACGTCAAAAATGCCTTCAACTCGGCCAAATGGTCTGACATAATAAGGACTTTATAGCGACAGAATGTACTACCTTAAAATGATACTGGCTAGTTATCTCTAGCATTAAGTACTCCAGTACGATACGAAAAGCGGACTAAGAAAAAGGCAACAGACATAGGGGGTCATGCAAAGCTATCTCCTTGGCTCTGACCTTCAGAACTTGATGTAGGATAATCTATTACTCCTTGAAATGCCTCCAGGTACCAAGCTGTCAGGTTTTGCTGATGAGATAGCATCGCATGTTACGGCGAGATCCCGAGAGGAGCCGAAGCGAAAAATCCGGTAGGGAATTGCTATAATGTCTGGGTAACTGTTTATCTGTGAAGACTAATTATGTCATATGTATATGCAGAAAAAGTGATGAAATTTATTTAATAGATTGTCTTGACAATTGAAAAAAAACTTATGTATAAAAAAACATAAATTTATAACTCTATTGCTAATGGTAATTCACTTTGAAAAAAAAAATTTTTTTTTCAATGAATTAATAAAGGGTCTAAACTGTATCATATCATAGCTCAAGAAACTTATAAGGGTGTTAATAAACCAGATGATAGAATGTAGACAAACTTTGCTTTTGAAACATCGAATGAGATTTGTCAAGGCTGACCACCTAATAAACTAAATATAAAAATTAGAAGTAAAGTAATGTTATTAAAAAACTTGAGTGTATAAAATAGTATTTGTAATGGTAAATTATAAATAACTGAATAATATAAGTACGATGTATAGAAGGTGGAAAAATTAACTAAACAAAAACCGAAAAGAAATTTTTATTCCAAGAATAACTTTGAATACTGGAAATACTTCTTGACTGCCATTTATTTTGTACAGAACTTAATTTCCTTCAGTTTAAGCTTTTTCTATGACTATTAATAAGGTCATCTTAAGATTAAAGTTTCGATAATGTTGATTGATATTTAGATTTTTCTATGTCAACGTTATGTAGCATTATCAAGATACGAAAATAAAGATAGGATTGTAATTTGAATAAGATGAGAGAAACATTTTGATGCACAAAACATCATTTGCAAAAATGTTGCTGATTAAACAATACGTATGTCTCAAAATCTGTATCAAATTAACTAACTTTTCTGTTCTTTGCCATTCTGTCATTATTAGCAAAGATACTTGAACAGTTCTTGTTCGACTATTTGGGTCATGTACAGGGTACGATAGAGGTTTAAAAAATAACATTTTTAAGCCTGTACTTTTTTCACATTATTTTTCCGCCCTCGGGTAGTTTTGTGAGGCTGGTACTTCCTTGGGCAAAAAAGCAGTTTTCCAGAACTCGTTCGAAAAGTCTCCTTTACGAACCTCGTTACGTCCCTCGCCTTCGGCTCGGGCCGCAAACCTCTCGGTTCGCAAACAGAGACTTTTCAAACTCGTAGGAAAACTACCATTCTTAGTTGAGAAAACGATAGTCAAAAAATAAGTATTTGTGGTCTATAAGGGCTCTATGCGATGGCTCAAAAGAGTAACACGTATTCGCAGGGCGAAATTTCTGAGGTTTATATCACCTTATGAGTATGAGGAACTGAGGAGCATAGTTATTGAATATAATTGACAGTTAACAATTATGCCTGAAGAACTTCAAACTTACTTATAAAAATTTTGAAAATCGTTGTATAAGGCTTACCATACCTTTATAAAAATAACAGATCAATCATTGTAGACTTTTATGTATAAAGTCGATCTATTTATCTTCTAGGCGTTGTTACAACATAGATAAAATTTTTTTGAATTCTAAGGATGAATTTTTTAAACATAATAAAGAAGTTTAATTTTAACATCAAAGATTTTTCGAAAATTTATAAACAAATTATTTCTGAAAATAAAAAGTAGAATAAGAGGTCATTTTGTATACAGACATTTTTTTCTTTTTATTCTTCACATTTAAGGCAGTGGAAGTGTAGTGATGGGCAAAACAAATCGTGCTCTTGAAAGTGGAAGTTAGGGTACTTTATGCACAACCCCAGAGGGACAGCGATGAAATACGGCGGTAGGGGGTTTACTCAATATTTATTAGGTCAAATAACGGAATTCCACCTGAATTTGTGGAGGGCCGAGGATGATACTTTGAAGAGAGGGGCAGTGGAGGGTTGTGAGGGATGCTTCGGACACATAGCTGTATAATATATTCTGTACAATACATAATGTTCGTATACATGTGTATATGTGTTCCTATATTACATAGTCAATTGTGTGGGGCATTCCACACAAACCTCTCGCAGCCCTTTACAGATCCCACTGGCCCTCCACAAAAGCCTTCTCACCTCCTACCGTTTCCCCAAGGGGAGGTAAAATACTGTTTTTTTTGTTATTTTAGCATAGCACATTTTTTGTTAAAACCCCCGCTGCCACAGTGGGGAAAAAGTCCTTGACTACAAATTCAGACCAGTTAAATTTTTTTTTTAATACTCGTTAGATGATTCTCTTCAAAGAGTTACTACAAATTGTTCTATTTGGATTATACATAACCTCAAAAAAAAGAGTAAAACGACTAAAAGATCACATTTTTATGTAAAATTTTCGAAAACAGGTACGTATGATATGTTTATAAGCTTAACAGTAAGAACAGAAAAAATCGCTATTATTGAGCTAAGCAACGTATTAGTCTGTCAACATAATCTATAACAAAAATTTTTATATTTTTCTGGGAAAAAGTGGTATTAAACACATATTTCAACTAAATTTAATGTATTTTGTTTTTTTTATTACTTGCGTAATGATTCTCTTCAATAAGTCACAGTAATTTTTTTGGTAAAGATAGAACGTAACCTTAAAAGAAATGTAAGAAGATGAAAATATCACATTTTTTATGTAAAACTTTTGAAAATAGTTACGTATGATATATTTACTATAAATTCAATAGCAAAAACAGAGGAAAATGTTGTTATTTCCCCTAAACCACGTATTTTTTTGTCAACATTATCTAAAATAACCTTAACAAACAAATAGGATGCAGAAGCTCATCTGAATACCTTACGTCTGTACCGTACATAAGTAAGCGTATGGAAATTGAAAACTACTTGAAAACTTTTATGGACACTATTCAATGGTTTTAATAAGTATTTAGATAAGGTAAGAATTTTTCAATAATTTAATCTTTTCGTTTTTCTATAATTCCAAGAAATAAGCAAATATTCACCAGTAAAATCTGATTTTTAAGTCAATGTTAAAAATCCATTTAGTTATATACTCGAAACATCTACTTATTAATTTTTCATATTATACTTATTAATTCTTCCATATAAATTTAACCAGATCGACTAGTAGAAAATATTTCAAATTAAAATTTAGTCGTTAACGGATAAACATTTTAAACATTATTTTAGATACAATTTCAAACCTTATTTTTAAAAATAATGCCTTAAGGACGCTCATTATACGTAGCAATTTGGGTAGAATCTTCTTCAAATTTCAACAGGATTTTCGTTATGATGTTGTAAAGTCACGTATGAAATTGAAAACTGCTTCACAACACCGTTTTTTAGATATTGAATGTAAAAAAAACTTCAATTTCACACATCACCTTGTGAAAGAGTCACTTAAAGTGTAGAATTTATGAAAAAATGATCGTCCAATTTTTTTTTCATGGCGCAATACCTTAAGACTGGTATTATATTTAATTTTCAGAGGGATCAACAAGTTATTTTTGTATTTAAATAAAAAATAGTGTCAGATGCCTATCTATAAGTATACAAACGCATGCAACACAAATGCCTGCACACTCTATATTTCCCCTATAACTGTAATGAACGTCCTTAAACATCTGTTTGTATTTGTAATAATAAGAATCAAAAAGTATTTGAAATAATACAATTGCAACATTATATAAGAACTCTGATACATAATTGACAATATGTAATATTCGGAAAGATGGTAAAAGAAAAAAAGTGTAGAAGGAATATACAGGAAAAATTTGTATGCAACTATAATTAGAAAGGAAATTGAAGCATTTCAAAAAATTGTAATAATGGCCGAATTTTTTCTAAAATAAGAAATAGTTTTCTTTTCTTTAAATATGTTGACAAACATACAAATAAAATCAGTTCAACCATAATTTTTGCAATTATTTTTACGACAAAAAAGTGAAACAAATATATCATACATGCTTAATCTTAAATGATTACAGAGATTGTTAAAGTCCTAACATTGAAAACTATTTTTTTAAGTTATTCCTTCTAAAAATGGAAAAATTACATTAAATTGTTTAAAAAAACTATCAAATAAGTATGTAAAAGCATCTAAAGAACAAACAGTTGAAAATCTGTTTACAATTGTGGTTAACTATTAGCAGTATGGACGTATGGGTATGTGATCGGGCAATTAAATGTACAACACTATCGTTTTTATTATAAAATACGAACACGTTTATTCTCAATATTTTGAGTATATGCCATCTTTAGTCTTTACAATCAAAGATACAATCGTAAGCTGAACTGAAATAAAGCAAGATCAAATCAAATAAAGAAATACGAAAAGCAGGGAGTGCGTATCGACAGACTGACCGCACGAGAAGGAAAAGACTATAGGTATTAGACGCTGAAATGCAGCGTCACGGCGTCTCGTCCTCTTGCTATTGCGCATGCGTTAAAATTTAGTTACGAGCTCCAAATATACGTCTTACATTAACACAGTCTTATTTAAAAAAAAAAATAAAAGAAACAAACCTGGGGGTATAAATGGGTCATGGGACTCACGGTAAGAACGAAGTTCTTTAAACTAAAGATGA